ACCTTATAGGATCCTAAACATGGAATTTGGTTAAACCAAAAAAGGAACTACAATGGAGACTGTAGGTAACGCTATAGTAGCAACCCTAACTGGGTCGCACAAGGGTCCAGCCGGCATCGGGGCGCTTCGCCGCTAGCCTGGAGCGTGCCACCGCGGCCGCCGTGTTCCTGGGAGCTTGTATTAGGGGAACCAAAAGGATCTAAAGCATTATGTGGGATATCCCAATCCTGATGCTTCGCCCAAGGCCCGTCTAAGCACCAAGCAGCCTCAATGCCGAAAGCTCCGAACCTTGAAACCTACAGCCCCAAAGCCTGTAATTATATTCCGCAAGGGCCCTGAAACGCTAACCACATCGAAACCCTGGCAACCAAAAAGTTCGTTCAGCCCAAATTCCTGAGGCCCCGACGGACTTTCGGCGAGCCATAAATGAGAGGGGGCCCATAGCCCCGCTGCAACCGCTGAATCCAAGATGGGCGCAAGACGGAAACGACTGTTTGCAAGCTGTTTAGCAACTTCTGAATGAGGAATACTTATCATTGACACCCTGTCTCTTATCACAACCTTTGTACCTAAACGCAGTCGTGGGCATAGTAATAGTTGTCGTTGTCGTCGTCGTAGTATTAGCAGTAGTATCAGCAGCAGCAGCACTCGTCGTAGTAGTAGTAGTAGTAGTAGTAGTAGTAGTCGTAGTAGTCGTAGTAGTCGTAGTAGTCGTAGTTGCAATAGAAGCGGCCACGGCATTAGCAGCAGCAGCCGATCACAACTTGAGAAAAGTGTCGTCCTGGGAATCAACAAGGCGCGCAACTTTTTCATATCTAACCTAAGCAGTATGCAGTCCTCAAACAGAGATGTCTCATGTTCACCCTCGCCTTCCTTACCGTCGAGGACCTACTTGGACAATACCTGTCAGAATCCCAGGCCCTAGGCCCTTATTCCCAATTCAAAAACCCCAAACCCCTATAAACCCAAACCAAAAACCCCAAACCCTATTCAACCCTAAACCCAAACCAAAATCCCCAAACCCTAAAAACCCTAAGCCCAAACCAAAAGCCCCAAATCCTTATAAACCCTAAACACGACACTTTAAGCCCCTTGGGTTCTCCGAAACCGAACCCGTAGGTCCCACATCCTTAGGCTAAAATCCCAGACATCCGATACCATGGTTTCGGGTTTGGAGTCATACGGGCCTTAAAAACTAGAACAGGGCTTGCCCAAAGGGTCCTACGTACTGTTATGGAGGATACTTCCCCCAATCTTAATAGTAATTCCTGATATAGAAACCCTACATTCTACTATATAGGTACTTAGGACCCTTTGGGTTGGGAGTATATTACACTATAATTATAATAGCGAACCCTCCAAAACAGTATAGGTAATTATTAAGGCCCCTATATTAGAGTGGCGATACTGAAACCCGAAAGCCTGAAACCCTTCAGACCAAAACTTGTTCATCCTACGAGGCGTTCTGCTGCTTTGCCTGGTGCTCGAGGATTGTCCCCAAAGGACCTGCGCCGAGCATTTAGGGTGGTTTGGGATCCGGGTTTAACCCTGAATTCTGAACCCAAAAACCCTAAGCAGAATGCTCATGGGTTCCCTGTATTTGGGTTTCTGGGTATTTTGGTATACCGGAATAAGTCTCATCAATACTTATCTACTAGCCAACGGCCTTAGCCTTAGCCCGTCCAATATATAGAGGTGCAACCTCAGGCTCTATCTTGCCGGCGTTTCTCAGGCTGACGATCACACGTCCGAAGCTACTGAAATCAAGGAAGGCGGCAATAAAGTTCATGGCGATGAGCATATGGGGGGTTGTCGAAATTAGGGTCCTTTTTTGGGTCCTTATTATAATACGGCACCTATTATTTACGGTACCCCAAAAGGGACCATAATTTTGACAACCACCCAAAAGTAGGAGCCGGAATACCGAGGGATAGTAGGCCTCAAAGTTCCTTAGTACACCAAAATGTATGGAGGCCACAGCCACTGTTAAAGCCCGTAGAACCCCAAACCCCTAAACTCTCTATTTATGAAAGCCCCTATCTTTAACTCTCAGTCCCCTAAAGCCTTTAGACCCCTAAACCCCTAAACCGTACACCCCTAAACCCTAAACTTTTACACCTCGGGAAGACGGGGTCCGCTAAAAGAGAGAATGCCAAATCCAGTGTTCCAAAGCCCTACGATGCTCGGTCTTTAGGGCTTTGGGGGTTTGAGGGTTCATGTAGGGGCCTAAATAATTACACATACCATTTTGGGGCTCCTTTTTATAATTACAGTAGTTTGAGGGTTAATGTAGGGGCTTAAATTATTACCCATACCATTTGGGGCTCCTTTATATAACTATAGTATCATGGGCACCAAAACCCTATTCTAATTATGCAGGCCCCTATATTTAGGGTTAACTTAGGGTTTGGGGTTTGGGGTCGAGTTGAGGTTTAGGGTTTGGGTTAATCCTAGATGCTGAAGAAGGAGACCATCGTCGTCAAGGAAGTACAACCAGCCCCTGGGCAGCTGCTTTGGTCTTGGGTATTTGGACCCTAAGAGCCCAGATAGGCCCAACAATGACAAGACCATATACATGTATATATATATATATAAACAAATTTCATCAAATTTATTGTGGGTGTTTAAGCCGCAACTGACAATCCTTGGTTCAAGTTGATCGGGATGTAGATCATATCCGTTGTGAATCTTCATGGGTGAGTTTGCGCGGGGCTGCTTTTAGGACAACTACAAGCAAATCTTGTATAGACCTCATTTAAGGCATTTGCAGCCTTTTATCATACTTGGAGGTTCATGGGACTTAATAAGTACAGTTATAAGTACCCTAATTGGGGTTAGAAGTATAGTTACCTTATTTATAACCCTAATTACTAGGTCCCATGACCCTTTAAGTACCTGTCTCCACAAAAAAGTGCAGACCCTGCAGGCAACCCTTGAACATCCTCATCAGGAGCTGGTGAAGACCGTGACTTCTAGTACAACTTAGGATAGCATAGGTACTCTAAACCCCTTAACCCTAGACCATATCCCTAAACCCTAAACCCCTAAACCCTAAACCCCTAAACCTCCCCTGAACTTCTAAACTCCTAAACCCTAAACCCCTAAACCTCCCCTGAACCCCCTAAACCCTAAACCCTAAAGCCCCTAAACCTCCCCTGAACCCCTAAACTCCTAAGCCCTAAAGCCCCTAAACCTCCCCTGAACCGGTTTAAAGCCTAGACCCTTTGGGGGCCTAGAACTCGGCTCGCCTCACCGAGCCTCAGATGACTCCATGTGAAGACTGCAGGTTTTGCACCACGGTTTAGGGTTTAGGGTTTAGGGTTTAGGGTTTAGGGTTTAGGGTTTAGGGGTTTAGGGTTTAGGGAGCCACGGTTTAGGGTTTAGGGTTTAGGGGTTTAGGGGTTTAGGGTTTAGGGGGCCACGGTTTAGGGTTTAGGGTTTAGGGGTTTAGGGGTTTAGGGTTTAGGGAGCCACGGTTTAGGGTTTAGGGTTTAGGGTTGTTAACGAAGGCCTTCGAGGAGTTTTCAGAGTGTGCAGGCCTTCAAAGAATCCAGGTGTTAGGGTTCGGGTTTGACTTGTAGTTTAAGTTATTCTTACCATACCCACATGTTGTGAACACAACAGGATCGAAATCAAGTCTAAGGTACTAGCACGGCAAGATTTTCGCAAACTCTGTTCCTCGTTCGGCTGAACACCCAGGGCATCTTCCTGGTCCAAAAGCGTTTCGATGGAGTGGTGCTTCTGTCTATGGCCCGGACGCAGAACAGCAGCTCCGGCAGCTCGTTCTACAAGTGAACCGTTCTTATACATCGCGCCTATCGGCAGTTGTACTGCAGGAAGAACTTAGATACGGATAGAAGAATAGTTGTTGATGTGCGTCGCTTCTTATGCTGTGTCCCGTACATGATTGTGCGCGGTGGTGTGGTTTATGCAACCACTTGTTTGTGATGGTGGCCGTGCTTTTCACGACATGACCTGCAAGTTGGCTGCATGATTGCATTGTTCTGGTTGTGCTTGTGGTAAGAAAGTAGTGCTGATGGTGCTGGTTGTGGCGGTGGTGATGTGTCACTCGGTGCAGGTGCTGGTGCTTGCAGCTGGTATGTTGTCGGGTTGGGCAGTGCCTTCTCTTGAGTCTGGTGCCATTGTGGTCTGCGCCTGCAATTTGCAGCAATGCGTCTCTGCTGAACGCTTGCAGGTGCTGCGTTCTCGTCGCAGTTGAATCCGTGGCTGGTTGTCAGAATCGGTCGTCTGCTGTCTTCTTTCTGTTGTAGGGTTTGTGCTGACCCTCACGTTCATGACCCTCCTCTAGTGATGATGTCTGGGAATCCCAGACGGTAAACGATGAGTCTTCTGTGGTTGAGGGCATTGCGGTGTGCTTGACGATGATGACGAATGTTCTTGCGGTTACGGTAGTTGCTGCTGGTATGTTCATTTTTGCAGTTGAGCAGCATCTCGCTGCTGTTCAGGCATTCGCTACTTGTCACCAGAATTACCGGAATCATCATGAGGAACCTCAGGCAGCAGAACAGTCAAGTCGTACACACCGGCCAAGTACCCAAACCAAAAACGTGCTTGAAGAAACTGGAGCCGACTCGCAATCGAACTTCCAAAATTCAAGCGGGGCGCGGGAGAGTTTGGATGCAATTCGTGGTTGGATTCTGGCTGTCTTCTCAATTAATGCTATGTTGGCTTGTTTGTTGCACTTATGTTCATACGACAGACCCCCCAAACCCTATTCTAGTTATTAGGGCCTCTACGCTAGTTTACGGCCCCTCAGGGCCTGAAACCTTGTGGCTGTTCGGCTGAAAGCTTGCTGGAGTCGGCCCCAAACATGCGGACGAAGCCAGAAGCTAAGGGTACTACGGTTGGTGATAGAAAATCCTGCATTATCGATGATAAGAAATATACCATAGTTCCCATAGTTTGCGGTCCTTAAGCTAATGTAGGATTTATATCATCAACAGTATTTCAAGGTTCAGGGGGGGGTTTTATTTATGGTATCAAAGGGCACGATGCCCCCAAACTGCAGGGTTAAGGGCCCGGGCTTAGCATTTTGGGATTTGAAACAAACTCTTCCGAAATAGCGCCGACCTGCGCATGAAATGCTCAATCCGGATACCTCCCAAAAGCACGGAACAACAACGCTCAAAGCCTTGAAATCAAAACGGTACCCTCAGCCTAAACTTCCTACCACCAAAAATCCCAGGACGGAGTGGTCCCATCATACTCCAGGCCCAGGGAAGTCTTCCAGATTTGTGGAATATTTAATTTGGTGTACCTATAGTCTCCATTGTAGTTCCTTTGGGCGGTTACCCTATAGGATCCTACATGTAGACTCGGTTAAAGCAAGAAAACGAAGTACAATGGAGACTATAAGTAGGATTGAGGCTGAGGCTTTTAAACTGGCTCCTTCAGGACTTCAAAGGGGTCGACAGGGGTTTTATAGGGTTTTCCACGGGGCTTTAAAACGAGCTTCTGTACCCTTCGGCCTGAGAAAGCCCCATAAAGGTACTTTGCGGTCCAAAGTATACTGTGCGGGTGCATGGCCCCTTACATAGGGTAGCATTCGGCGTTAGGGTCTGGGCTTCAGGGTTGAAGAGTTATAGAGGGGTTTAGGGTTCAGGGCTCACGAGAGCGATATCGTATTACACAGGCGTGAGGGGTAAGGGTGCTCGAAGCACTTTGTCTCAAACCACTCATAAATCGGAATCTAAGGCCAAGCCCTAAATCCTAAACCCTAAACCCCTAACATGGATTGCAGAGGCAGCTTCATTCATCCCAAGACAGCCCTACATAGGGGTTGAGGATGCAGAAGGCGCGAGAGACTCTTGGTTCAATGTGTGGGCTTAGGGCAGCGGATCTTATCCGCAAGCGCGAACCTCAAAGCCTTGACCCGATACCTTAAGCCCGAAACCCTTGAAGGGTAAACCGAAAGCGCGACCCCGGAAAAATGAAAAATAAGCCAAGAATACTTAAACCCTTATATTCTGTTTATTCCCGAAGCCCAGACAGATCTCTGAATTGCTGGTTTTTAACCTCGAAGGATCGTTATGTGAGTACCTGAACGTGTGCCCATAATTAAGACGAGTCTTGTATCTGCGGTGGACCGGATACTACACTGATTTGTCCTGCAAGATGTTTGTATGATCCTGACCCAAGAAGATTCACGGCACACCGCCTTGCCGCTGCAGGTCTGTGCCAAGGCGATGTGGGCCAGGGGTGCAGCTGGATTGCTCCTCGGACCCAACGTGCATTTTTTGTCGCGAGGGAAGTTTCCTTTTCAGGTGAAGTGGAATGTTGGTGATGGTAATACGAGAAGCCCTGACTACTGTTCATTGCAAGAAATCATAGAGCAGATGCAGGAATCCTCGTAGAATAGGTCGATTTGAAGCCCTGTCCCCAAGCAAAAGAACGACACTTGACTATGCCGTCATCGTCCTCATCGTTATTACCACCCTTGGCTTGGCTGTTGCATGATCCTGCAAGCCCTAAACCCTAAACCTAAACCCTTAACCCTAAACCCTAAACCCTAAACCTGGAAGCCCTAATCCTAAACCCCAAAACCCTCAAACCTAAACCCTAAACCCTAAACCTTCAAGCCCTAAACCTCAACCCTAAACCCTAAACCCTAATCCTTCAAGCCCCTAAACCCCGCCAAACCACAGCACCCGGAAGCCCGAAGCTCGAAGCCAACTTGGAGGTTCAGGGGACTTACTTAAGGGTTATATGTATAGTTACCTTATTTATGACCCTAAGTACAGCTATAAGTACCCTAAATGGGGTTATAAGTAGAGTTACCTTATTTATAGCCCTAACTACTAAGTCCTTAAATCCTAAACCCTAAACCCGAAAACCCTAAACCTTAAACCCTAAACCCTAAACCCTAAACCCTACTTACTAAGTCCCATGACCCTTTAAGAAGCGGATCACCAGGCTCACAGCGAAGCGGGTCCCCGCGGCTCTTGAGCAGAAGCAGCTCGGCAGCCCTGCTGGGGTCGCGTAGGGTTTCGGGTTTTACCTGTAGTCTCCATTTAGGGTTTAGGGTTTAGGGTTTCGGGTTTAGGATGTAGGGTTTCGGGTTTAGGATTTGGGGTTTAGGATTTAGGGTTCAGGGTTTAGGGTTTAGGGTTTAGGGTTCAGGGTGTAGGGTTTCGGGTTTTAGGATTTGGGGTTTAGGGTTTAGGATTTGGGGTTTAGGATTTAGGGTTTCGGGTTTAGGGTTCAGGATTTGGGGTTTAGGGTTTAGGATTCAGGGGTATGATGAAGGGTTCCAGGGTGAAGGGCTTGGGGGTTTCGGAACTAGAGTTCGGCTCAGGGTTCAGGGCTTAGCTCAGGAACTGTCGTTCAGGGTTCAGGCACAGCGGTTAAGGACCTTTTGAATTTGCTGTCGGGGTTTAGAGCTTAATTTGTGTTCAGGGTTCAAATTTTGAGCTTCCCGATCTTCGGGTGAAGATTTCGAGTAAGCTGTGCGAAGGCAAGAAACAGGCAGCGGGCCGGAGGTGTTTGCTAAGAATACGGAACCGTAGTAGTAACAGAAAGAGCAAGACTCACACGAACACTGTTTTTCCCAAGAGGTTTCTACAAATTACAGGTTCCGTTTTGTCTTAATGGGTAGAACATGGCAGCAAGCTTGCTATATTGGAGATACAACAAGAGTCGGGGAGGCGGGGCCAATCCGATAACTACAGTAACCTCCCTCCAGACTCTACAGTGCCTTCGATGCTTCAACTGTGACTACCCCGATCTCTTCTCTGTTGAATTCCAAACCCGACACTCACGTTTAGGATTTAGAGTTTAGGGTCCCGACACTCACGTCACCTCCAACGTCAGTTGCAGGCTTCCGTGCCAGCTGTGCGCGCAAAGTGGCCATGCCAGCCGAAACTGTCCGAACCAGCGGCGTCGACCACGTTATGCACGATGGTGACCCGTCCTGGTTCGGACGGTGGGGGTTAGTGTTAGCCGCAGGGTCCACCTTAAATAACTTACCCATAGTTCCAGCATAGAAGGGCTTGAACAAATCGTAATAGGGTTGCTTAAGGTAATTAAGTTTTCGGAGAGGCTCATGGTGTAGAGCCCCGCCTAACCCTACCCTACGAATTCATGCCCCGCAATCAAAGCTACTACCGTACCACTTGTAGTCTATGCCCCAAGGGCAGACTTCTGGCATCCGTTGGACCCGTAGAGATCCTCCGTACAGCCAGTGGAGTATGGGAGTTTCCGAATATAAGGGGTACCTTATATTGGGGTCCTTAGCATAAGGATCCTATTATTTAGGGTACTATATTAGGGTCCCTATTTTCGGAAACCCCCATATCACACGACCTCAACTGCAACCACCCAAGGTGAAGGGTTTCGGTCTCAGGGCCCCAAGCCCTGAACCCTATCTGCCCCAAACCCACAGCCATAAACCCTATGCTACAAGAAGCCCTGAGCCTTAAGCCGTAAAGGCCCTAAAATCGAGGTCTCACGACCTGGCGGCCTGGAACTTATTCGAGGTGGCCGCCTGGCCCCTGAAATTCGTGGGGAAGGTATCATGAGTGTCATCACGAGTGGCATATGGGTAGTTGTCAAAATTATGGTCCCTTTTGGGGTACCCTAAATAATACGTGCCGTATTATAATAAGGACCCAAAAAGGGACCATAATTTTGACAACCACCCATAAGTGTCATCACGAGTGGCATATAGCCCTAAACCTCAAGGACCTAAACGAGCACATCATCTCTGCACCGTCAATGTTCAGGATGTTTGCTTGGACCCTGGCGCGCTCTCGCTTTGTATGGCCCTGGTGGCTAGCTCAGAACAGGGCGCTGTGGGATCTGTCGTGGCTTGGCTCTAACATGTGGACCTGATCGTTTCGATTGTAGGTATAGGCGCTAAACCCTAAACCCCTAAACCAAATTCCTGACCTCTAACCCTAAACTGCCGAGCATTTACATGGGCGCTCGAGGCTCCGACCGAGTCCCCGGACGAGCGTCCCGTCAGAACGGTGAGGGAGGGTACAGGGGTATACGAAGACTGAAGTGACAATGCTTTGCTGGCCGAGTTACGTAGAACTGCGAGAGCAAGAAAGCCTTCGAGGTTGGGGGTTGAACCCAAACCCTATAATGGAGGATAGTTGCGGTGGTCGGGGCGGGACTGCATGCCGACACAAGCGCACGATAAGTGGGTACGCCCCATTCGTAAAGAAGCGCACCCGCCGCGTGCTCAACCCTAAACCTAAAACCCGTAAAAGTAACTCCAAGGGTCCCTGTACTCATAGTGTATACAGGGGCCTTAAAGTAGACCGTATATGGTTACTTTACGGCCAAAGTATGTACTATTTGGGCACATGGACCCTTATAAGGATTGGTTTTACAGTGCAGGGATGGGGAGTTCGTCATTTCGACGTTTCGCGATTGGAGAGCTCAAAAGCTTAAGGGTCCATGTGCCCAAATAGTCTGAAGTGTTTAGGAAATACTTTGGCCTGCCCTTTATGGCTACGCTACTTATTTAAGGCCAAAGTAGGGTAATATATGGGTCTTAATAATTACCAACACTATTTTGGTGTTCCTTATTAGGATTTATAGTATAATGGGCCCAAAACACTATTCTACTTATCAAGGCCCCTATATTGCATGCACCCTCAGGGAAGTTTGGGCTTCTCACAATTTGTGTTAATTGGCTTCACCTCGACTGCAGGAAGAAATCTGCCCCACATGGACATCCATCGGGCTTTTTGGGTTTATTATACTAAGCTATACCAAGGAACTCTCAGGAATAGTATTGGTATTTATTGAGGCGCCTAATATCTATTGGGCCGGACATGTATTGGAGCACCGATGATGTTTTTTTCCAGAGTCTACAGCTAGTTGTGTTGAGGAAGTTGACGACTGTTCTAAAGGCAGTATCTCGAGTTTAGGATAGCTTGGGGTTCAACAATTAGAAGAATAGGGTTGGGAGGTCTCTGGTATTTGCTTTAACTTCCGTAAAGAATCGTCAGGAATACCCTTACCCTTACCGGTGTTCAGATGCCCGTTTTGCTGTGCTGACTTCCGGGGTTCAAGATTGTTGAGGTGAATCCCTAAGCCACACCAGGTCACAGATGACGGCCGAAAGAGTGCTGGTGGCTATCCCACACCTGCGCTGGGAAGCACCGGGCCGCACCTGGGCACGGATTCGGCCAGGGTTTAGGACCTATATAGGCGTTAATATAGGTTCCATGGTTCAGCGTTTAGGGGAGAACATCGGCTAATGGCGGCGAATATTGGCCAGTAGGGGTCGGAATAAGTAGCAGTGCAACCCGATGTGCTTGCGTGTTTTGAGTCGATTCAACCCAGCAGCTGTAGCGGTGGTGTTCACCAGTCGCTACTGAGCCCTAAAGCTTTCGCCTTGAACCATAAACACTCACCTCAACCCTACAATTTCGTGCTGGTGGGCAACATCGGGATTTCAACAAGTTAGGTGTGCCATGAAAGCGACCCAAAGCTCTGAATCCCGACACCGAGACACTGCCGAGGTTCAATCCCATCACGAGCTGGGACGAGGAATCCATGCATCATTTTGGGGTGGAGACGTGCCCCCCCCTTCTGCAAGCTGCAATCCTTGGTCTGATCGTTCGGGTCCGTCTGTCCAGCCGGCAATCTCGTTTTCAGCAAGATTGTTCCACAGTATCCATAGTCATCAACAGCATGATCAGCAGCACCACCTCATCTTCTCATCAGCTTCATCGTCGAGCATCAACATCATCATCTTGGCCATCGACATTGGGAACACCAACCAAGTAGTGCTAATGCTGCTCCTTCGGCGAAGAGAAGGCAGACGGTGGGTGGAGGTGCAGCAGGAGGTACATTACAACAGGAGCCCAATCCATTACTGCGACACTACCAGCGGTCTTTGCACAACTTGATGATTGTTCCGGTCATCCTGCTTCCCCGTATCTATATAGGGGATATACAACTCTATAAATTACTTTAAACTTTTTCCGTAAACCCGAAGCACCCTAAAGCAGGAACACGAAGCTATAGCCCGCAAGACTCTAAAGACCCCAAACCTACTAGAGGGGCCTCATCAATCACCCCTGCTTTTTTTGGAGGAGGGGGGGGGCCTTATTATAATTATAGCTTCATATACCCCCAAACCCTATTCTATTTATTGAGGCCTGTATAGTAGAGCCGTTAAACCTCGAGGCTCCGAAAGGTCCTAAAGCCGCCCATGAATACCCTGACTGAGTAGCGCTAAGGGTGGATGTGCCCCCAGAACAGGTGTATTCAAAGGCTTCCTCTGCTTAACCTTGAACCCTAAATCCAAAACCCTAAACCCTAAACCCTATGAGCCCTAAACCCTGAACCCTAATTAAACCCTAAACCTCCTTGAACCCAAAGCCCTGCCAGGAGCAAATCCGACGGTGCTCTCTGCTAAACGCTCCGGCTCCATCAGAAGAGGCGTTTTTGGTTTGGGGGTTTGAGGTTTGGCGCTTTAGCGTTTCAGGGTTTGGGGGTTAGGTCCTAGGCATCATTGGGGCTTTCAACAAAACTTCCTGTCTGTCTTTCTACCGATCTGTCTCGCTCTCTCCCGCTCTGCCTCTCCTTCTCCTTTTTCGGGATGAAGCATGACTTGATCTTGCAGCCCTTGGAATGATCAATAAGTGCAGTTTCCGTCGCTTTCCTACATCGACCAAGACCGCCCCAAACCCACCCTAAACCCTAAACCCTAAACCCTAAACCCTAAACCCTAAACCCTAAACCCTAAACCCTAAACCCTAAACCCTAGACCCAAACCCTAGAGCAGCCAAAACTCCTAAGGCCCCAAAGCCCGACGAGCCTACAGCCCCAAACACCCTGAACCCCAGTTTAGGGTGTAGGGTTTAGGGCCCTTATAAACCCTAGCCTTAAACTGAGAGCCTTGCGACTTCGGGTGTCTTCCGGTGTGTTTTTTTCTTCTTCTGGGCGCTGCAAGCCAAGCATTGTGGTGAGGGTTTCGGGCTCATGCTGCAATATAGGGGCCTAAGCTATTACCAATACTCTTTGGGTGGCTTCTTATCATGATAGCTATTCTACAAGATACGCCAAAACCTTGTTGTAGCAAGTCCAGAACAGCCCTTCACCCACAGCGCCTCAACCCTGACACCGAAATCCCCAGCTACCCCTCAGCCCTTAGTCCTAAGACCAGAAATCCTCGCTCCAAACGAAGACCTTTAAGTCACAAGAAGCTTTGGACTTGATAAAGACCTTCCAGAATTCCAGACTTCCGTTCTCAAGACCCTGGAATCTGGAAGCCCCTCAGAAAGAAATCCTAAACCCTTTTCCCCTGAACCCTGAACCCTTCTCCCCTAAGCCCTAAACCCTAAACCCTAATCAGTGCGTCGCTTTGACTCGAGCCACGTCCACCAAAAACCCTAACCCCTAAAACCCTAAACCCATCCTAGACCGAAACAGCAGAAAAGCTCAAGCAGCCCAGAGGCTCAGCTTGCCAGAGCCATCGCCTTGTCCTTGGCGGAGCAGAGCGGCCAGGACCCTAAACCCCAAACCCAAAACCCTAAACCCTAAATCCTGAACCCTAAACCCTGAACCCTAAACCCTGAACCCTAAACCCTATAAGCCCAAGAAGACCTTTATGAGTTCTCAGATCTTCCAAAACCCGCCAGTCAGGGAAAATATGCCTTAAATCATATGAGGGGTCCTATCATATTTTCAGTATATTCCTTAGGTCCTTATTTGAATTAGTGAGATTAATTAACAACAAATTAACAACCAATTGATTAAGCCATATCAGATACGGAGTCATTCTAGTCTTATAGTTGGCGACCCCCAGCTCAGGAGGCCCTGCGGCAGGCTACGAGTTTAGATTAGGGGGTTTAGGGTTTAGGGCTTATAGCGTTTAGGGTTGGTTGACACTTACATTTTAGGTTTGAAGCTTTGACCCCATGAATGAAGTGGATTGGCCTATGCCAACTCCCCAATGAGAGAGCGAGACAGAGAGAGAGAGAGAGAGAGAGAACCTTAGACCCTACCTGGAAAACCCATATTGTTTAAGGACTTATATGAGGAAATCATAATAAGGAACCCCCCAAAGCGTAGGTTATTTGGGGTTATAAGGTAGACCCTAAACAACCCTAAGGAAATCATAATAAGGAACCCCCCCACAAGGTAGGCTGTTTGGGGGTATAAGGTAGACCTTATAAAACAAAAAATCCCTAAACACACTTCTCTGAGCGCTAGGATCCCGTGCTGACGGATGCGTTGGCCGAGGACGAGGATGCAGCGCTGCAGGCAGCACTGATGGCTTCCTTGGAAGGCCAGCTGAAGGTTGCAATTTCCTGCGAACTTAGCCAGAACAACCCACTCCGGGATTATATAGTTGAGTTTCTTTAGGGTTTAGGGCACGGTTTAGTTAGGGAGGTTCAGGGGTCATGAGTTATGGTTTTGGAGGCTCTTGGCTTGTGGCATTGGGAGGGAATGCGGCACTTTTGAATTGAACTTGCGGCCCTTGCGGCCAGCGCAGTGCAGGGCTTCTGGGGCAAAAACTTAGCTCAACATTACACCTACAGACCCTCGGACTTGTATAAACCCTAAACCCTAAACCCTAAACCCTAAACCCTAAACTATAAACCCTAAACCGAGCTGAGATCTAATCTTAAGCCCTGAGCTCCAAGCTTGAACCATAAGCCCTAAGCCCTAAACCCTGAACCCTAAACCCTCAACCCTTAAACCCTAAACCCTAAACCCTAAACCCTAAACCCTAAAACCCTAAACCCTAAACTACTCTAAACCTTAAGCCCTGACTGAGCCTTACTGATCGGTACAGGCACCCCTGCCACGGCTGGCGCAGAGCAAGTCCCGAATGAACCGAAGGCGCACCCTGAGATTCGGGTTTAGGGTTTAGGGCTTTTGGGCTCTGGACTTCTTGCAGGGTGTTGGGAGTTTAGGTTTAAAGGCTTTTGGGATTGAGGGTGTAGGGCTTGTAATGAGGTTTTTCCTGGTTTAGGTTTAAAGGCTTTTGGGATTGAGGGTTTAGGGCTTGTAATGAGGTTTTTCGTGGTTTCGGTTTATAAAGGCTTTTGGGATTGAGGGTTTAGGGCTTGTAATTAGGTTTCTTGTGGTTTGGGGTCTCAAGGCTTCTGGGATTCCGAGATTCTGGGATTGCGGGTTTAGGACCGAAGGTTTGAGGGTTTTCGATGCTTGGCTGGCTGTCATGGCGCAGCACAGTTTGCGTTGGAGTTTACGGCCAAGTGGGCTGCTGTTGAACTGTGGGACTGACAGTAGTTGCAAAACGCTGGCTGTAACATTGATGCAAGATGTAGGGGCCTAAATAGTTACCTAAACTATTTCAGTTTATCCTCCTTATTCTTATGATTATAGTTCAATGGGCCCCAAAATAACTCTATTCCAATTATTAAGGCCTCTAGATTACAGCCTTTATAGCGGGTGTTCAGGTTGGTCAGACGAAGGGCACAAGGGACTCGGAGCTATAATAACGTAGGCAACTTAATAATTAGAATAGGGCTCCTTTAAAGGGATCCTTAAAGGGTTCCATAAGGGTTACTATAAGGGTTCTATAATGTAGGGGCCTTTATAATTAGAATAGGCTTTTGGGGTATATCATATTATAATCATAACAAGGAACCCCCCACAATTGTCTAGGTAATCAGTTAAGCCCTGCTAACCTTCTACAATTGCATGAACCACTACTGCCTGCTGCAGAGGGGCTCAGCACCCAGACCTCATCCTAAACTCCAGACCCTAAACTGATAAAGTCATAAATCCATGAAAGAGGCAACCACGAAGGACTCCAAACGGAGCAAAGCTGGGGAGAAGAAGGCGTCGCAGACGCCTGCCGACATGGAGGTGCCTCTCTGGCATCACTACCTGGAATAGCGTTTTTGGGGATTTTTTGGAATTTAGTGAGTGCTTGCAGCAACTCTTTTCTTGAGCCTGAAGCCTTCACCGGTCAACCCCCCTTTTTGTTCTGAAAGTCTAGTGATGAAGAGAACTGTGCAGCAGCGGTGTCTCTTTGGCTGATTAGGTTGCCGAAGCGATCGCAGCCCTTGCTCGGCGGCGCCCTGGTGGTGTTGTAAATATCAACGAGCTCAACCAGGCAGCCGACGTTACACAGACACACACACACACACGCACGCACTCACACCATGTTGTTTGTTATATGCATGTGTGTATACACATACACATGTACCTGCATATGCAGCTACCTACATACCTATCATCCTATCCACCGGCCCACTCACCGAGCGAGCGAGCGAGCGACCGACTTAGCTACCTACCTACCTACCTACCTACCTACCTACCTACCTACCTACCTACCTACCTACCTACCCACCTAGCTGCTTCCCTACATGCATGCGGCCAGTACGATTTCTCAGCACATGGAACTTCACTGTATCCCTGACTGAAAAAAGCAAGCTGTCGGACTCAAGTATCTAACTCGAGCAGTGGATTTATTTGAGGTGTGGCGTGTGAGGTTTCAGATGTGCCGCTCGGATACAATGATGATGATGTTGGTGATGAAGATGGTCATGCTGTATTCATGTTCTCTCGTTGTCTGCCTACGTTGGGATGCATTGATGGTGTCAACTGACGGTTCCAAGACGCTTTGACCTAAACGCTAAGCATTAAGGTCCTACGAGCTTGTCTTCTGAGCTTTGCAACTACTGTCTTGTTGATCCGGCCTTTCAGCCTTGATACGGCTGATGGACAAAATCCTGCATGACCTTATATACCTAAACTATGGGGTTTATGGTACCATACTATATTTAGGTCATGCAGAATTTGTCCATCAACAGTATCACGAGCCTCCGATGCCTCACCGTAAGGTCAGCCGCAAGTCCAAGACCCGAAACCCCAAACCCCCGCTCAGAAAAGAAGCAAGCACGACCACAAATGGGAGTTTCCGAAAATATGGGGTACCTTATTTGGGGTCCTTATAAGACGGATCCTACTATTTAGGGTACTAGATTAGGGTCCCATATTTTCGGAAAGCCCCGAATGACCAACTCTAAACTACATAAACATGTATGTTCATGTGAGCATCTACGTGTAGACGAAAGTATATCGTAGTCAGAGCCACGTTCAAGCACAGCACTAGCAAGCAGCCCTTGAACACTTTAGGAAGGACGCCTATGGAACCTGATTAAGTTTGAAGCAATCCTATAGTCGGCGTGTCAATCGCCAGCAATGTTTTTTCGCTTGTCCATGTACATCATGTTATTTAGTATATGCACGGCAAGTCGTCGCTTCATTACTGTGGAAAAGACGACAAGCTCGTATGTACAGTTTCCCCAACCCACCCCCCCACCCCCCGCTCCGACAGCCCTGTTCTAGCTATTTCGGACGTTCTTTTGAACCCAATTTCCCCTACCAAAGCCTTGTTCAACGTTACCCCAAACCCTGACCTAAACCCTAGACCCCTAAATCCCTAAACCCTAAACCATCATATAAACCCCAAACACGCTTAAACCCTCAACCCTAAAAGCCCCAAACCCCTAAACCGCAGCACCACAAATCCCTAAACCCTATGTCTTCACTTCTTCTCTTGAGCCCCATCTCCTTTGAGGACGCAGCCTGCAAGAAAGTTCTGAAGCCCTTGCAGTTCCTGAGACCGGAAGCGGGTTTTCTTTAACGGGTTGATCGTTCTGAGGGTTTAGGGTTTAGGGTTTAGGGTTTAGACTGTGTATTTCGGGGTTCATGGGTACAGAGTTTAGTTTTGTAGGGGTCTCTGGTGTAGGGTTTACCGTTTCCTGTCTCTTCCCGCGCACCCGACACCCGGCGTGGTGAGTAAAGGTCGCAAGGAACTTACACCAGGGAAAGCATAAACATTGCCGTATCCTTGCATTATAGACCCACCTCTAGCCGCAAAAGCTACATGCTTTTACCTTTCTCGTTAAGTTTCGTGAATGTCCATCTGCTTCTACTCAGCTGCACCTAAACCCTGAACCACAATCTGAAAATCCCAAGCCTCAATTTCACTAAGTCACTAAGCCGGAAATCGAAGTGTTCTGGGATGTGGAGCTTCATGCCCGGACCTCCGAGGTTTCCTGAAGCTGTCTAAGATTGCCCAACAAAGCTTGAAGGGGATGGTGACGGCACGCGTGAAACGAAAAGAAGAAGACGATGATGATTATGATGGTCATGGTGGTGATGATGATGATGATAACGATGGTGGTCCTGATGGGGTCAGCATCCACGGTTCAAGAACTCAGAAGTTTTTCTTCCACAGAGCGGCCCTTCGTATGAAACTCAAGGCTTGTAGGGCTCATGGGTCTAGAAGAGGGCTTTTAATTTTAGAGTTTGAGTTTAAGGTTGCGGTGGGCATGTATGTACACTCGTATTTGTATTTGGCTTTGGTGTTGAAATGTGCATGTATGTATGTGTGTATGTATGTCTGTCTGTCTGT